ACATTAAAACTCTTTAACATTTGATTTTCCTATTCTTAATAATAATAAGAAAATCTGTCCATGATTAATGCTCAATTTGTTTTCATCTTCCCACATTCCCAATTAACGTAGGATCCTTTCTTTGACACACCCAAAAATATTACAACATATAATCCGAGTTCTTTGCATATTATATGCTGAACTCCTTAAATTAGCAAGTACTTGTTCTTTCTGCTCATTGTGTCGTTTTCCAACTTGTTTTTCCGTTTCTTTTTAATCTTCTTTGCTTGGTAGTGGTTTACATGTAGTTGCAATTGTAAATTTATGAGAGGGGTAAATCGTAAACCGGAATGACATTGTTTTCAAATAGAAATAAGAAATCACTGTTAGATTCTTTTACGTACCTCACTTGTGGTATGATTTGATAAATCTTTCATTTTAATCTTCAAATTAAATAACTTATAGCTTATCTCTTATTAAAATTGGCATGCATGTATCAATTTGATTCTTATTATAATTAAGTCACCTGTAAAAGAGATTTTTTTATCCCAAATATAAGTAAGATCAATTTTTAATTTTACCCTTATTTGATTCTCATTCTTAAAGAGAGAAAAGAAAGAGAAATGTAAGAATGATTTATTAATATTGAGAGGAAAGATATTTAATAAGAATAAATTTGAACAATTTTATCAATTTAATTCATTTTTTAGTATGTAAAAATGAGTTATAAGTGATTTACAACAAAAACCCGGCTGATATTCTATATTTTTATCTTACTTTTACTTAGCCAGAAGTCCTTCAACTCTAAGGTGTTTCATAACTCAAGTTTAGAGTTTATATTTTTCGTCTTGTATATGCTTAGTTAAAAACCTAAAATTAGGTCAAACAAGTGAAGACTCGGACAATCTTACCATAGGCTAATCCTTGCAATAAAGTATTTTGTCTTTTGCTAAAAAAAAAAAAAGTATTTGTCTTAGCTTCAAATGCTTACGCTCTTATGCATATCTTCAATAACTTTAATATGTAAAACATACGCACTTTTATTTTTTCTTAGATTTTTCAAAGTACTTCTCAAATAATATACGATCGTGAGTTTTTTCTCGAGTCAGTAAAAATTATATGCAATTTTTTTCCCTTTGCTTTGATACTTTTCAATTAATTCTCTTAATAAATATATCACTTTTACTGTAAACCTTCCCGACAAATGACGATACAATTAGTTTTTAGAAAATACGGGTCTCAAATCTATAGTTATGTTCAAACTTGAAAAATTATGCGTCTCAATTTTATTGGTGGATTACTGAGAGTTTATCATCTGAGAAATTTACCATTAGCTTTATTTAAATTTATTGGATAAATAATTACTTTTATTTATACATCAACACCATTGCAGGCTAAAAGTTACGCTAATGAGTGTTTACGTCTGCAAAACTATATTAAAAGTAAACACATATCTATTGATCCGTAATATATACTCATCCGATCCCTAATATAAGATCTAATTGTTAAGTTAATTTTGATCCTAAATATAAGACCTATTTTTTTATATTTATCAATTTTTTGTAAATTACCCTTATAAATACTCTCTGAATCATAATTAGCTAAGCGAGGGAGGGAAGATATTAAGAAAGATGATTATAGTATTTTAGAAAAAATATGTTATATTTATTATAATTAACTAACTTACCTAACTTTTTTAATCTAATCAAATTAGTTAAATATGTCTTATATTAAGGATCTGAGGAGTAGTACGTAATATTATATTACATAACATTTTTTTCCCGTTATAACATGCTAATTAAGCATATCATATTCGACTGTACACATTTATCCTCAATTTAATAGTATAAGTTTTAAACAATATAAGAAAAGACCAGGCGCAGTTTTATTGTAAAGGGAAATTATTGTAGTTCATGTATACCCCATACGTTAGACTCCATTTTTTGATCTAATAATCGAATTAACATAATCTAAGAGAAAAGTTAAATACGTTTTATATTTAAAGAAGCTACCATATTATTTCACATTGAAAAAAGGAAGTCATTTCCAAGGCACTAACTATATATGTTAATACAATCCAGTGAATTTAAACATACAAGTTACATATAATACAGAAACATTATTAATGCTAACATCAAAATACATATTTGTTGGCATTGCTTCATCATCTCATTTCTGTGGTACTCCTCTGGTCCTATTTATAAGGTACTTCTAACATGTTTCACACAGACCAAGAAAAACCTTAAACTGCATTAACTCTCTATTAAAATATAACAACTTTTCAACTTTACCCCTATTTAATATATACTCCTTTCAAAAAAAAATAAGTACTTACACTATAATAAATGAAGGACAAAATAATACATTCACACTGAAAAATTAATGAAGTGACTTATAAATAGGACAAAAAAAAACCTTCTCTCTCTGTCCTATAAATAGGACTTAGAGGAGTACCACGCAAACTAGATAATGAAGATCAATTGGAAAGAAAGGGAATTGGCCGTGCGAACTGTCGTTTACATACCACGTGTCTAAACATGAACTAGTTTTTTATACTGTACACGTAAACACAAGTGCAGAAACCATGCAAACACCTTACCAGTTACCTCTCTCTAGTATTATATAGACGACAATGCGCATCATAATATAAATAGCTTTCGTCTCCAGCTCCTACACGTTTGAAACCACCACTTTGTACTCAATTTCAGGGATGGAGTTTGGAATTTTCTACTCTTTTTCCACCATTGACGACCTCTGCTAATTTATACTTTAGCAGAGACACTCCCAAATATAGTTCACGCAACGCAAGCTAAATCGTTTCCACGACGAGACGCTACCCCGCTATATATCAGACACGCCGACCAGGTAATTAAGTGGGCTAAAACCAAAAGCCAGCTGGTAAGTGCTTTAAGCCACCGCCGTCTTCTTTACTATAAATGGCATCTCCGGAGCCCTCCTATTCTACAATTAGCCCATCATGGCCAGGTCGAATTCTAGAAACAAATCCTCCGTATGGTTCTCCGATGGTTGTGTCTTCTTCGGAGGTGTGCTTGCTGCTGTTTTCGTGGTTTGGGGTTTCTGGTCGTTCATAGCCCCATTTCCTCCCAAGACCCCCAACTTTCAGTCCGTCACCGCTAGACTGAAATCCCTAAAAGGTCCCGACGGCGCTCTTATCTGTGGTGCTGGTACGCATGGTCCTGATCTCCGACACGACCCGCCGGAGAAAACCTTTTACGATGACCCTGAAATGGGTTACACACTAGACAAACCGATGAAGAACTGGGACGAGAAGCGCAAGGAGTGGCTGTTACATCATCCGTCATTCATCCCAGGAGCGCGAAAGCGGATCCTCATGGTGACGGGATCTCAGCCGTTTCCTTGTCAGAATCCGATCGGCGATCACCTGCTTCTCGGGTTCTTCAAGAACAAAGTGGATTACTGCCGTCTCCACGGCTACAACATCTTCTACAACAACGTGCTGCTTCATTCAAATATGGAAACATACTGGTCGAAGTATCCGATGATAAAAGCGGCGATGATGGCCCATCCGGAGGTCGAGTGGATCTGGTGGATCGACTCTGACGCCATGTTCACAGACATGGATTTCAAGCTCCCACTGCATCGTTACAAAAACCACAACCTCATGATTCAAGGGTGGCCTCGCCTGGTACACGAGGACAAAAGCTCGATGGGTCTGAACGCCGGCGTGTTCCTGATCAGAAACTGCCAGTGGTCGTTGGACTTCATGGATGAGTGGGCAAACATGGGCCCACAGTCACCGGAGTACAAAAAGTGGGGAGAAATACAGAAAAACACCTTCAAGGACAAGAATTACCCGGAGTCGGATGATCAGGCGGGGCTGGCTTACTTGATCGTGGAAGAGAAAGAGAAATGGGGGAACAAGGTTTACTTAGAAACAGAGTACGCGTTCTCGGGTTACTGGGAGGATCTAGTGGGGACATATGAGAATATAACGGAGAGATACAATGAGGTGGATAGAGAAGATAAGAGGCTAAGGAGGAGACATGCAGAGATGGTGAGTGAGAATTACAGTGAGACGAGGGAGAAGTACCTGAAGAAGGAGGAGGCGAGTTGGAGGAGGCCGTTCATAACACACTTCACGGGCTGCCAACCTTGCAATGGAAATCACAATGAGATGTATTCAGGTGACTCTTGTTGGAATGGAATGAAGAAGGCTCTCAATTTTGCGGATAATCAGGTGCTGCGTAATTATGGTTACGTACACCCGGATCTACTGGATAACTCCGTTTCTCCTATCCCTTTCGATTACCCTGCCTGACACATCCTTCAGGTCATTATTTATTTTTTTATTTAATTAATTTTATATGCTCTATTAAAAAAATAAAGCCAGAGCATTGTTCAGCTAGGGCGTGTCATGTTTTCTGGTAGTTTTACAATTTTTAGGCCATATTGGGCCAATGAGTGTCTTATGCGGGTTTGATTTGGGCCAACAGGGCGCGGGAGCCACATATCAAGATCCGGGCAATAGAAGCGGAAAACGGGAACCGATTCGTTTGTTGAGGTTATGCATGCCAAATTGCCAATAGTCCTGGATAGCTTCCCAGTTAGGCTTGCTTTTCGTTCACAATATTGTACCTTTTTTTTTTTTTTTATGTGGACCCCAAGAAAAAAGTTTATGTTATGTCTTTCCCTTCTCTATCCTGACCACTTGGAATGGCTCTCTGTGCATTTTAGATGTATAGCAATATCATGATATGCTTCTATGATGTTCTTATATTCAGTTGTTTTATATATCTCGTTACAAAAACTAATTTTTAATAAATGACATTTCGACAAATAAATTTTGTAAGAAAAACAATAAATTTGTTATAACTTTTTCTGAAAGCTGAAGTTTAAAATGTACTACGCCGGGGAAAAAAAAAAAAACAAAAGAGTTGCACTCCTGATTTGCGTTTCTTCGACCATGATTCAGTATGAAAGTGAAGTTGATGGAACAGACAAAAACTTTGGAGAATGAAAAAAGACGTTCCCACTTCCCAAAGCCAAATACCCGTAACTGTGCTTTGTCACAGGACTGCCTCCATGCTACAATATAATGCGTCCAATGAGTTATCTGTCTCTTCTACCGTTAAAATGACTTGTTCAATTAGCTTTCTTCCACAATCGTTTCCGTTATGAGCTAGCTCTTCGCTCATCCTGCACTCACCAACCCTTCTATACTGGTAATGGAGAAGATGAACAATGGCAGCATCGTCACCACGAAAACTCTCAAGTTCCGAGTCCAAAACGGCGAGGTCCTCTATGGGGTATCTCTCCTCAGCTTCTCCCCGACAGTCGCAGAGATCTTAGGCTACGTCGGTTACGACTTTGTCCTCATCGATATGGAGCACGGCCCCGGCGGAATCTCAGACGCCCTCCCCTGTATCCACGCACTCGCCGCCACCCAAACTCCCGCCATCTTCCGCGTTCCCGAGAACTCCCCCGTTTGGGTCAGGAAGGCCATCGACCTCGGCGCACAGGGTATCATTTTCCCCATGATTGACGACCCTGAATCAGCCACAAAGGCGGTGTCGTATTGCCGATATCCGCCAGCCGGAGTTCGAGGGGCCGGATCCATCGCTAGAGCGTCGAGATACGGGCTCGATCCGAATTACCCGGACCAATCCCATAAGGAGTTGCTGATTATTTGTCAGATAGAATCAGAGGCGGGCGTCAAGAACGTGAAAGACATTGCGAGCGTGGACGGCGTGGACATGATAATGGTGGGCCCGCTTGACCTGAGCGCCAGCATAGGTTGCTTGACGAACCCCAAGAATGAGAGGGTGAAGAAGATGATCGACGAAGTGGAAAAGACGGTTTTAGGCCTTGAAGGCAAAAATGGTGGTGGACCTTACTTGGGAAGGTTTGGAACCGCAAGCGATGGACCTGAACAATATCAGAATCGTGGGTATCGCTTGATTCGTGTTAATGTGGATGTAATCCTCTTCAAAAACGCCTGCCTTGAGGACATCAAGAAGTTCAAGTCAGCAAAATGAATGGATATCGATTTGGATCTTCCTCTAGGTTGTAACAGTAGACAAATAAAATAACTTGATGTTTCTGCAAAATTGTGGTTGTATCTGTTGTGTCAAACAATAACAAGCTGATTTATTTCGTAGCTGCTCATGTGTTTGTACTTTGTATGTCTAAATCTTATCGTCAAAATTGAAATTCCTTCCGTTTAATATTACAGTACTCATATCAGTTACCAGGTTTCTGTTGCTTCGTAAGATCCTCTAATAAGTAACAAATTACAATGCAACTCTGAAGCATTTTTCTCACGAACTCAAACCACATAAGCTACCATCTCAGATAAGTAATATTTACTGCACTGGTCAAGTACTTATCGTTTACAACGGCAAAATTCAACAGGAGTCATCATCCTTCGAAATCAGAAGCTAATGGTCTTCTTTCAGGTCAACAGAAGGTTCTGAAGCAGAGTGTCGATTGAGATTTTCAGCATCAGAGGAGTTTTGCTTCACCTTCGCCATTCTTTTTGCTTTCCTTCGCTGATTTACTTTCTTCGAGGTTTGAGGGCCTAAACAAAGTCATGTGATAATAAACGTCCCAACAATATCGAGCTGTTAATTTCATGGAGAACACAACGAGAAGTGCACAAATGATTCTGACCTGGCTTGTCTGGTCCACAATTTTCCTGACTCTCAGAGGCATTTGATCGAACAGCTGGAGGGTGATCCGCATGTTGATCGGTGGGTAACAACGGCCCGATTAGTTTTCCGCGACGGAGGGCTTCTTCCTTGAGCTTCCTTTTACGGATTTTCTTCCGTTGAGCCCTGGTTAGCTTTGGCGAGTCAGATTCCTGTTCTTCCTCGGTACTTGTAGATGCATTCTCATAAACATCCAAAGTATCTACAAGTCATAATTCCATAAAAAGAGAAGTTTGGTTACTGTTTGCGAGTGCTAGTTACAGTTGAAACAAATTATATGGTTTAGAACCTGGAAGAGCATCAGAACCAAAACCTTCGATCGAAGCCTGCACAGGATTCGCCTCTTCCTCTGGCTAAAGATGATGACACTATTACATTTACCATCAAAACGAATGCAGGAAAAAAGTGAAAGAAAAGAAAAGAAAAGAAAGGAAGAGGGGAAGTGAGAGAAACATAGTACTGGGGATGCAGGAGATTCATCTTTAGGCGGAGGTGGAAAGAGCATTTCAACGATGGCCTCATTGAACCTGCGTTTTCTCTCTTCCCGGTTCATGAAAGCCAAACGAACGACCAAAATTGAGAACTTGAGACAGTAGTGCTGCTGATTTGGCTTCAATACAGAAACGCCTTCTGGGTCTTCTTTTGTCTTGGTACTTGAACTGAAGCAGTGAACCTCAGAAAGAATTAAACTTCGAGGAATCAATCGAGATTGAAGGCATATGAGTATAAACGTCTGTGCGCGTGGGAACAGGGAAGACACACACACACATAGATTTTTTGTTTTATTCTATTTTATTTGCATAAAATTATTTTATCACCAGGGCAAGTATAATAGTTTCCATTCTTTTAGTCTATTTTACCTACTTCTATAGTTTCCATTTACCCGCTGTAAAACATCCCATTGTACTAGAGGGTAAAATTTGTTTGTTTTGTTTTGTTTTTTTAAATTTTGGCTGAAAAATAACAATGATTTTCAGCTAATCTAACGGGTAGCCTATGTCAAACCGAGATGAGGTAGCAGGCTAGCCAACCCAATTTTTTTTTTTTTAATTCTTTTGTAGTTCTACAATCTTAACAGATTATCCATTTAATATGCATCCCATGCAGGCATGATTATGAACCCTATAATTTGCTAGGAGAATTTTTCCATAATTTGAAAAATATTAAAAGAGATCCGTATGTATTATATAACATCAAGTAACGTTTAAAAAAGCTAACATAACTATTGAAAAAACTAATAATAAGGGGTCAGGGGAAAAAAAACTAATAATAAAGGGCGACATAACGAAAGCGAAAAAATAATCTACAAGTGCTCCAAATCTTCTTCCATCTGAAAGTATGAAGTGATAAACACTAAACAAAGCTTAATAGTTCATTGAAAAAAATAATAATAAATGGTAAGTCAGTCAAAGTTTTCTAGAGAGAGAGAGAATAATATGGGTTAACCGGATTAGTCCAAGGGCCTAATGGATCAAGTTGTTTTATATGGGTTCTAACTTTTAAGCCTAGCCCACTCATATTGTAGTCAGAAGTATTAGTTCGATTTTGTAATTCTGGGCTAAGGCCCTCTTTGTACAAAAATGAGTAAAAACCAGTGTAAAAGACGGAGCAAGACCAAGAATTGGGTCTAACCAAAAAAAAAAAAAGAAGTAGTTTCTCACTACATGAAAAATCTAAGATTTGAATTTTTGCTCAAAAAGATACTCACATTTAGTGTTTAATAGTGTCTCGAATAGAATTACATCCAATTGAAGGATACCTATGCTTATAAATAAATAAATAAATGACAATTTTTTGGTACAATTAAATGACAATTTGTGCATGGTTATATTATTATATCGAACTGTATTCTAGCCCCGTCGAGGATGTAGCATCGATTGTTATTGTTGAGTTCAACTTCAATACAATGAGAAATATGAAGACATAAATCATATCATCTACATAATTTATAAAATTAAAGTAAAATAAAAGATGGTACTACTATTACTCTATTATTGTTGACGTGGTTGTTGGTTTACTTCTTACACAATTCAGATTTTATCCCACCTCTGTATGTAGATGGAGAAATGTTCTAAAGTACCCACACTAGATAATCAAGAAAAAAATAGGAAAAATACAGTGGGACTGATTTTAATCATATATATTCTTCTGGTTCTAAATATAAGATCCATTTTATAAAAATCACAATTTAGGACGGAGGAATAGCAATTTTTTGTTGGGATTCTGTATTTCTGTGACATTTTATAAAATTCTGAATTTCCATTTGTGAACCGAAATCCAGACAACAGCAGAATCCTCTCATATATTTTCTTATTGGAATTAGTAAAGTAAATTTTACGTTATTGTAGCTTAGATAGGCTGCTCAATTACTTAGTCAATGAAAACAATTTTAGTAAGAATATTAATTAAGTAATTGGATATTACCCGAGACTGAGAGTTTTGAGACGTTTTACCTTCCATTTATATTTATATTCCATTATCCTATACGCCAAAATCTTCACTGGCAGGACCCAGTTTGTAATCAACCAAGAACTTACGTCAAATCCTAGAGGCACTACTTTCGTTCTTTAGTTTGCTATACGTACAATTCAATGCAAAGCCAGGTTGCTTCAAATTCGACGTTTCTCAATCATAATTATTATCTTCCACAAACATATAGTAACAAGTAATTATAATCCATTTGACCAACGATTTGCAGTAGAACAGAAGAACAGAGAGAGAAGTGGAGATACAAGACATAGTGATTTAGTTTTCTCAGTAAATATTTCCTCCGGTTCTATATATAAATTTTACTTTTAAAAAGGAGTCTGCTTCCAAATTATAAGCTTCATTTTTGAGTTTGTTTAAACATTTATTACTTTTTTCCCCCTATTTTGACCTTAGTTGATTGTATTTAGTATTCTTATTCTCTCATTAATATTACCCCGTATATTCTCTTTCATCATTTTTTTTAATTTATTGCCTCTCTCATTTATTCTCTTAATAAATAAAAGCAAATTTTTTTTAAAAAAAATATATTTCTGACATATTTATTATTTTTAATTAATTTTAGCTGCTAGTTCGTTAGACGTGATTTGGTTATTTGAAGCTTATATACAGGACCAGAGGAAGTATATATTTTTAAATATTATATATAGATTCATGGGGACCGAATCCTTTGCTCATTTTTATTAAAAATATGTAAACAAATCGATATTTTGTGGTCTACACTCTACATCTGATTTGCGTGAGATTTCTACTTTGAAAGTTGAAAATAAAAACAATTCAGTTGAAGAACGAGTTGAAATCAAAGCATTGAAGGCTTTTATTAATGTGTTTAGAAGACTAGAAGAAATGACTTTAATACGGCGGGCGTTTAGAATTGTGTAGAACTCTTTGAAAAATATAATCCTTGGGCTTGCTCTTCAACAAACTGTGGACTGGAAACTAAGCTCAACCATTTAATTTGAATTGATATAAAAAATGAAATCTTGATCGAAGACTTTAATACTGGCTCCAACATATTTTTATTTAAAAGAAAAAGTGCACTTTTGTGATATAAATTTGTGAAATATATTTTTATATCATTTAATTTATAATACAACATATTAAAATCAAAGTTTACTCTATTGTCTATATTTTATAAAATATGATATGAACGAATTTTCAGTTCAACTTTTCTGCCTAATAAATCCTTTCATATTGTGGATGAAATTATGAAAATTCAAAATTTTCATAGGTAAGCATTTTTTCGCAACCATGTGTGCATAGTTATATTTGGTTTTCCTCATAGTTAATATTTGGTTTTCCTAGTAAAGGAAAAGGGGACGGAGATATAAATGATGTGTCGAGGAAAAATTAATTAGAATACATATATTTCAGGACTCAATTCTTTTAGAGCAAATTATCAAATTTAAATTTCATGAAATAAAAAGATCATATTATAATAATTACGTTTTATTTATGTTTTGGTTGAAAAATTAAAAAAGGCAGTAATATTAAATATTAGTTATTGAAATGAATAAATCCTGCCTCTGACTTTCATTTAACATTTTGTACTTTTCTTTCTTTCTTTGTTTTTTTTTAAAAAAAAAAGAGAATTCAGGGCTGAGCCTAACTGATCAAATACCATCAATCTCTGCTCAACAAAATGAGCTTTTAACAATAAAAGGGGGAATAGTTGGCAATAGTTGAAAAAGTCCTATTATGAAATTACCGGGACCTTGTTCTTATCCGCTCCAATCAACTTTGTCAACAATTCACACCGCTAAATATAAAGGCCAAACAAAAAAATTTATTTTGATGTAAAATATAAGACTTTAATTAATTCACTTTATATTTTAAATTGATAGTTTTTTTAAAAATTTTTTTGTTAATTTTATATATCATAACGGTTTTTATTAAATAATAATTAAAATACACATGATTAGAAAAAAATATAAAAAAATAACACATATTTATTATAAATAATTAATTTAACTAATTTTTATAATATCTGTAAATTAGTTCTCTTGTTCTTACATCAAAGACCCGTCAAAGTATTTTTCATTTCATTCATACATATACAGGTCCCCCACGTGAATATGAATGATTCCTGTTTGTTTGTCAAACTTCTGACGAAATTAAAAACATGACGAACATAACTATATTTATGCCCCTTATATTATATCTTATCATGAGTTAATTGAAAAACGTTATTGGTTTAAATAATAAACAGCTATTTCATGAGTTGATATTTATTTTTGGGAAGAGGAAAAGATAGTTGAGTATGGATTACTCAACCTTGCGAAGTATCAGCAAGTCTACCAACAATTAAGGAAGTCTGGGAAGCTGCTTGCCTCAGGAAACAAGTTATATTTATTACTTATCCGGTACTTAATATAAAATTTATTTAACTAATTTAATTAGATTAAAAAAATTAGATAAATTAGTTAATTATATAAAATATGACACGATTTTCCTAAAACACTATAATCATCTTTCTTAATACCACCTCTCACACTTCTACTTGATTATGGTTGAGGGAGTATCCATAGAGGTAATTTAAAGAAAATTAATAAATATGAGAAATGAGTCTTATATTAAAAACCGGAGTAGCAATATTAACATGAATCATCATGGTGGGCGTGAGTCATGGTGGTTGATGAGTACCATTATAGCTGCAAATTATATTGCTCCACATACTCTTATTTGTGCAGTTTTCATTCGTTTCACTTAATTTAATAATCAAACAATTTCTCCATCCTACAAGTTGGGGCTTCAAAGTGAAAGCCTCAACTTATCAATTAGTAGTAGTAGTGCATGCACGTTAGTTTCGTTCACCATTATTGAAAGTTTGAAACCCCACTATATAAAACTGCAGCAAGAAATGGTTTTCTTAATTTCTAATATAAAGTCAAAGATACATTATTAATATCATATAACTATATACCGGATTGGTACAACCGCACCCATAATATGTATGGCTTCTCCTTTTTCATGCCTTGATTACTTTTTTATGGATAATATATGAGATTTGTATAATGATAATAAATTTAAACACTGCATTTTTATTTCAAAATATCAGATAACAAAAAGTGGATGAAATTTTTTTTAATAATATTTATCTTGCTTCTATGTTATTTAATTATGATAAATTTACATCTCACTCTTCATAGAACTTGAGGAATTGAGCTAAGGTAGCTAGCCATTGCCGGAAATCCTGATGCAGTTTTTAACACGTACGGAATTCGGAGAGGTACAAAGTGAAAGGTTCAGAATGGCAATGAATAACTGACATGTTTGTTGTTTCATTCTAGTATCTCCGATCCTTAATATAAGACCCTATTTGACTTTTATTTTGGTCATAAATATAAGACCCAAATCCACTTTGTCTCTAATATTTATATATTTTCTTTCTAAAGTAGTCATTCTAATAATAATAGTTCTAATCAATATACTTGATTAGCAAGGATATTTTAGGAAAGATAACACCTATTTAGGACAAATAACTAACTCAATTTACTTCTTTAATCTCCTCAAATTAGTCAACTGGCTCTTATAATTAGGACCGGAGGTAGTAATATAAGACATGAAGAAAAATGATACTACTTCTGGTCCTAATTATAAGAGCCAGTTGACTAATTTGAGAAGATTAAGGAAGTAAGTTGAGTTAGTTATTTGTCCTAAATAGGTGTTGTCTTTTCTAAAATATTCTTGCTAATCAAGTGTATTGACTAGAACTATCATTGTTAGAAGGGCTACTTTAGAAAAAAAAAAGTATAAATATGAGAGACAAAGTAGATTGAGGTTTTATATTTAGGATCAAAATAAAAGTCAAATAAGGTCTTATATTAAGGATTGGAGGTAGTATTATCTATATGCATTACAAATTTTTTGTCATGAAGACAACCTAAATTTTCTAGAAGTTATGTACGCAGCCAAACTCAGACGAATGGAAACTCATGAATTACTCAATCTGGTTCTAGTTCTCCTGAATCACGACACTACGCAGATATACACACGGGCGCACACACCCTGGAATCAATAATTTCAACATTTCGCACAAATACGATTGAGATAACCGAAGAGCAGAAATCAAGAAGCTAATTAATAACATGATAATTCTCACAAAAACACAGATATACAATCAAGAATCTCAACAATTCTCATGATCAGATCCTTACGTTACTTGACATAATTAACTGCTAAGAGCGTACTCTTGCACTTCTGCTGACGGCGTAGCTTCTGCTTCTAGCATAAACAGAAGGCTTTGTCTTGAAGTCGTCGTCAAATTCACACGGCTCATCTTCATTGATTCTTCCGATTGCCACGCTGCGACTCCGAGGCACCGCCATCTTAGACCCCTTAGCCGGCGCCTGCGACGACGGTGACCGCGTCTGTTTCTGAAGTACTGAAAGATCGAGCCCACCGCAATGGCGGTAAGGCACAGAATTAGCCCTCACGAGCTCCCTATAATCATCAGAAGAAGGTGAGGATGCGGCAGGCCCGGCGCTGAAGCTGCGAGGGAGGACCAAGGGATGGGAGGCGGGGCAGCCGAAGGCGGTGTCGACAGAGTTGAAGTGAGGAGAGAGGCGGTTCATGCCATTGACGTAAAAGTCCCTAGCCCTGGTGAGGAATCGGATCGGAGCTTTTATGTACCAACTCAGTTTCCTTTCTTTGATGGCCTTATTCTTGTTCCCCATGACGATGATACTGTAACTGAAAGGATTGTTTGCTTTAAAACCTAGAAATGTCCTTTTTATAATCTACTCACGGTGGAAGGAGGAAAGCTGGGATAAGGTTGGACCCCGGGGGATGATTCATATGTTTGAAATGAAAATCCGGTAATTTATAATTAAGTTTGATTTGATGGATGGGTGGATAATAATCTTCTTATTTTTTTATTATCATTGTTGTCTCTTGACTGTATATCATTAGCACTTGGATACCTATATGGTTGCCTGCTGGATTCTTTTTCCTGAGAAAAAAAAAAGGCTAAAATATTTTACAGATTGTTTCGAATTAATTAAAAAAAAATTTAGGGTGAAATTTACTGCTAAAATTTGGAAACTTGCTATTTAGAAATTAGGAAAGGTACTTATAATTAAAATTTCCAAAATTTATAGTAATTTTTAAAAACATGATAATAAATCTATTAAAATTTATTAGTAACTTGAGTCTTTAAAATTGTATAGATTTAAAGACTTTTCAACTTAAAATTTTTAAGAAACAAATCTTTCGATATGTTTCTTTGTAATATACAAAGGCAGAGCTTCTTTGACCTTCATCCACCCCACAAAAAAAATAAAAAATACTACCTTCGGTCCTAATTATAAGAGCTAATTGACTAATTTGAGGAAATTAAAGAAAGAAGTTGAATTAGTTATTTGTAATAAATATGTATTGTCTTTTTTAAAATATTATTACTAATCAAGCATATTGGCTAGAACTATTATTATGAGAAGGACTATCTTGGAAAAAAATACATAAATATGAGAGAAAAAGTGGATTGGGGTCTTATATTTAAAATCAAAATAAAAATTAAACAAGATCTTATATTAAGAACAGGAGGTAGTACTATCCTACTTTCCTTTACCTTGTCAGCTTGGCAAGTACGTACGGTTATTATCTCAGTCAAGCTACGAGGCTCCTCCCCTCCCTTTAGTTCATTTAGTTTATAATATATTTTGATTATTATCTTTCACATAAATCTTATTAATTTTTTTGGCCTGAACATAAATCTTATTAATTGACAACCGAATTTTCGTTAGCCAAACCAAACTCACAGAGATGGTTTTATGAAACTCGAGGAGTGATTGCTGCCTCTCACTCTATATATACAATCAAACAAACAAACAAACCCAGAAAACTTAGTTTTTATGTCCATTTCGATAGTTATTAAAGGTATTTTATGGATATAAAAAATTTATTATAATGAACTTAAATAAAAAAGTTCGAATTAAAATACATTGATTTTAAACATTATGCTGAATAAAGGTAATATTTTTTTTACTGACAAAACCTTTTTTTTTCAAAATTAAATATCACAAGATTCCCACAATGATTAGATCAAGCCGATGCTTCATATTGCGTCGGAACAAAGGGAAGCATAAGAAAAAGAATAGTGCCGGTCCAGTTAAACAATATTGCCCTATATTGTTGTTAAGTATTAACTAACTTGATCAGGACAATATTCTTATTTGAGAAGTCCATGATACCAACTGTTTGAAAATAATGGCTCATTTGCCCCAAAAAAAATCAATTAAAAAATTAAACAAAAAAATTGAATAAACAATTTGTCAGAAATAAAATTATATATATTGAAGTTATCAAAAAAAATTATATATATTGAATGAGTGCTCTGCTGGGTGAACGTGTGGAATTTGTCAAAGGATTATGCTTAAAAATATATTTATACAGCAGAACTAAACTATTTAAAGCCTGAAACGCGCGTTCGAACATAAGTACTATTTTAGGAGCAGAGAACCATATTGTTGTGCTTCAAACTGTGGATCAGAGTTTAGTGGGTAAGAATACAAAAAAAATGACAATCCAGAAAGTGGGGAAGTGCCACCACCATATAAAATTATTAGAATTTGAAGTCAGAATTAATGAGATAGTGCTTAATTTGTATTGGGAAAAAAAAAAACAGAGGGGTAATGCTTACTTTAATTCGGCCGGACTTATTTTATTTCATCGTTCTCCTTGTGATTTTTGCAAGTTGAAGGCTGACTCGTTGCTGTTTTTTTTTTTTTAATTGCCCTTTCTGGCTAATCAAGATTGACTTGTCATGCTGCTGAATTGATCTTTGAATTTTCCATTTATTCTCAAAGCCCGCTGATAAGATGAATAACGACTCAGGAAAAAGTAAAGAAAGAAAGAAAAAAAAAAGGTTGGCGGGATTAATTCTGAAGTTAGAGCAAATCATACATTGTTGAAAGCAAATGAATGAGGATTTATTTGTTTATTTGTTTTCCCGCCTCAAATATCATTGTCCAGTTAGGTCAACGAAAATTTTTTATTTTGTATTGTTGAAAGCAAGTGAATAAAAAAACATTGCATTTCTTTATTATTGTGCGCCTTTATTATCTCAGTCAAGCTATGATTCTCCTCCCTTTCTTTATGTTGTTATTATTATTTATTATTCCTTCCGGTCCTAAATATAAGACTCATTTTGTAGTGTAAATTATACTGTAAAATGAGTCTTATATTTAAGATTGGATGAGTATATCATTAATTATTTTTTTTCACCTTTTTTTGCTGGAATTGACAACCAAATTTGTTTGGGAAAATTACAATAGAAGACCCTTAAAATAACAAAACAGAAAAATAGGCACCTGAATAAAAGAAATGGCTTGGAGAGACCAGGTCTCAAATTGCAATTATCAAATTAAGCCTAAAAGACTAAAAAACCATTCTTCTTTTTTTTTTTTTCTTTCGTCCTTCTCCTCTCCTCTCTTTTTCATTCTCTTTCCTCCTTCCTTTCTTTTCCTCTTCTGTCTCCTGTGAGCCTATTAAACCACCACAAATGCCTAAAAAATTACTTAGTTGTTTGCTCCAAAACTGTAATTTTCTTCCATGTTTTTTGATCTGCTATGTTTGTATCTCTCTAGCGCCAAGAATATCTAATTCCTCAACTTTACTTTGTCCAGAATGGATAGTACTATTGGTGAAGCTGCATTTGATCAGGCTCAAGTATTTAAACATGGTACGGCGTTGAAGTTGGAGCTGTGATTGTAACCAAAATGGGTGGGCATGCAGAGGGCGGTGAAATGCTTTAAACTTTCCTCGCTCATTGTCCAAGACTTCCCTCAACATATTGGACTTCTAACCAATTTCTTTTTGAAGAAAGTGTTTTCTGATCTGCTATGTTTGTATCATCTTGCTATAGTTGGATAGTTCAAACCCAAAGCTCACGGCTCGAGGTTCTAGTATGTTGGAGAAGTAAAGCAGATGGTGGAAAAGATATGGAGCAAAATGAAAGGACTTGAAGTTGATAGACCAGTGGTCAAGAGATAATGTTTGTCACTGACTGATTGGAGCTACATCAGTTGTGAAACCATAATGCCTTCACATTATTTATTTGTAAATAATAAGTTTAGTATGAAAAATAACAAGTCTAATATAAAAAAATAACAAGTTCAAAAAACTATTCACATTAACTTAAGTTTTAGTAAAAATTGACAGCATTTTCATAATTTATTTGGGAATAAAAAGTCTAGCATAAGAAATAATAAGTGTTGAAAAATCATTCATATTAACTTAAATTTTAGCAGAAATCGGCATTGTCTTTGCAATTTAACTACAAATGACAAGTTTAGTATGAAAAATGAGAAGTGTTAAAAAGTTATTCACAGTAACTTTAGTTTTAGCAAAAATCTGGTCACGCGAAAAGTGTGTCATTGGGTTTCTTATGAAATTGAGTTTACTGGGAAATCATCATTATTTGCACATTACATAGCCAAATGATACGTGTGTTAAGAGAGATAACAAGTGTGTCATTGCAATGAAATTAAGTTTCGTGACAAGTTGCCATTATTTTCATATTTTATAGCTAAATGACAAGAGTAGTAAGACAAATCACAAGTCAAGTAAGTAACATGAGAAGCCTGTAATCAAGTTTCTAATAAAATTAAGTTTTATGAAAAGTTATTATTATTTTCACATTTTATTAGTAAAATGACAAGAGTGGTAAGTCAAATAAAAAGTGTGGTAAGCAAAATCACAAGACTGTGACTAGGTTTCTCATTAACTTCAGAATATTAAATAGATTAACATTGTTATCATCTAGAATTGATAAATACAAAATGTTAGTATTGTTCTACCCATAAACAAAATATCAACATTTCCATATTGTAACATTCCAAAAAAATAATAATAAAAATAAAATAAAATAAAATAAAGTTATTTTTTTAAAAAAATAATATATATTATATAATATTTTATTATTAAATAATAATATTTTATTAATTTAAAAAAAATACACCCCAACTTTTCCACCAAAGCCGGTGGAAAAGTAGGGTGAATTGAAGGCAAAGAAGAATTTCGATCGGGTAATTAAAGAGGGAGGAGGAAAAAAAAATGGCGAAGGATAATAAATGAAGGCAGAAAAACTTGGGGTGGACGGTTGAAATGAGAAGGATAAATAGAGGAGGGAGTGTTGTGTAGAGTAGAGAAAGAGAGGTGAGAGACGCAGGAAGAAAAACAAAGAACAAGAGAGTGAGTGAAGATTTCTGCAAGGACGTGCTAGCATTTGGGGATCATTTAGATACATAAAAATACTTCTTTCTATTAGATTTCTTTTATGAATATTTTCTATATATTTAGAACTTTATATTAGTAGTATTACTACAATGTTTAGAGAAAATTTTGTGAGCTGGGTACAGAGTAAGTAATGATTTTTGACAATATATGACTGTAGAAATTTAGAGATAAATAAGTAGTTAATTTTAACCGGTTTAGATTTGTCTATTTATTATCTATGGTATTTAAAATTAAATTTATTTGTTGAAAAATCTGTCATTTATGATATATATCATATTTATACCGATTAAAAATAGGTTAAATAATTTATTTGGGTTGTTCGATATATTATTAAAATTTTAATCAGTTTATATTTGTTTATTGATTGTTTTGAGAATTTTAAACTAAGATTTTAGTTGAAAAATGTATTATTCAAGATATATAGAATGTTTTTACCGAT